AAATGATAAATAAAATTAAGAAAATATGTGAAAACCTACCTAAATTAAATATTTCTAATGATGATAATTTCTTTATTCTTGAAACTGATGCATCTCTAATTTACTAGGGAGCAATCCTTCAAAGAAAAGAAAATCATAAGAAATTTCTGTGTAATCCATTGCGTAAATGTCCAGAAGAGCTTGTTGCTTATATTTCAGAAACTTTTAAGGATGCAGAAATCAGATATGATATTAATCGTAAAAAATGTTTAGCTTTCAAAAACGGAGTAGCAAAATTTGAACCTTACTTGCTACTTAAGAGATTTCTTATTAGAACATATAATATTCGAGTAAAATCATTATTGACAAACAAACTTGGGACAAGTACAGCTGAAAGGCCACTTATTAGAATGCAAATGTGGTTTGCACCATTTGAATTTGATATTGTCCATATTAAAGGAAAAATAATTTTATTTCAGATTTTTTAACTAGGAATGGAGCAAATCAAGAAGGAACTAGAAGCATTGAAATTCAAAATGAACATAAAGATTGCTGCAATAGAATCCAAGATAACTCTAATGGAGATGGCTGCTGTCAAGCCAGTATCTGAGAAGGCCAACATGGCTATATTATCTGAAGGCCCTAGTGCCAATAATTCTGAAGGCATTTGTGCCAATATTAAACCAGAAGCATTGAAGCTTCATAAACTTTCAGTTAGAGAGAATACTACTTTGTCTCCCTCACATGAGAANTTTATCTCCCTCACAGGAGAAAAAAATTACAAATGATAGGATTTCTATATCAGAGCTGAATAGCTCAAATATTATTAAAGTATGTAACACCCATAGTGTTATGGATATCAAAAATAAAGATAATTTTATTCTGACATACGTATTGTTCAATCTTGCCTGCAGCTGGTTCATCAGTATAGGAGGATGGATGAAAACTCTCACGTATGAAACATATAATAAAGTAAACCTATATTCAGGAACCTCAGCCTATTGGGTTCGTACTCTTTTTGAGATGAGAAATATAATCTGTATTTACCCATCAGAATCGTTAAAAAAAATCTCTATGCTACCAAATGATGTTGTCCGATTGAAAGATATTATCAAGTTCTTAAACATAAGAACATATATATCAAGTTTTTGATAAAGAAGATTGGCACTATCTGGATACATGGTGTGATCATATTTTTGGAAGAGATGCTTGTGAAACACAGAAGACAAAAAATGAGTTGTGTAAACAGTTTTGGCGTTATCCAAATCATAAATGCGAATGCTGTAGCAATGAAGAAGATAGCTTACCAACATCTCTTGATCTAGAGGAATTTCCGGATGAGTGGTTT